GGACCCCTGGATGAAATAACGTATGTAAAATGCCTTGATAGTTTTTTTAAAAATTTTTATTTCTTAGAAAAATGTTTTAGAAAAAAAAAAAAAAGTTGCAGGTAAGGGCTGGGATTTAGCTCAGTGGTTTTGCCGCCTGCTGCTGCGCAAGCGCAACGACTCGAGTTCGATCCCTCGTACCAAAAAAAAAGGAAAGAAAAATGTTTTAGGCTATTGTGGCTTTCCTCACAATGAATGACCTACCATGTGTCCTTCATGGTGTCCTTTAATCTTACTTTTTCCTCTTTTACTTGGTCCAAGATCACTCTGCAAGCCAGTTTCTTCACTTTTACATTTCATTAATAAAAATAAAAATATGGGTGGGTCAAAAAAATGTTTAATAGGCAGCAAGTTTGTACCCAATGTTGACTATAGGTATGGATACAAACCTTAGGTTCATTTCCTCTTTCTTTTTTTTTTTTTGGTACCAGGGATCGAACTCCTGTCCTTGAGCTTGCACAGCAGGTGGTGAAACCACTGAGCTAAATCCCTGGCCCTATTTCCTCTTTCTTGCTAACTGCCCTTCCTTTGGGTGCTACAAGCTTTCCAGTTTGTTTGTTTGTTTGTGACAAGATCTCACTACGTAGTCCAGGCTGGCCTCAAACTCACTAAGTACCTCAGGGTGGCCTCGAACTTGTGGAAATTCTCCCAACTCAGCCTCCTAAGTGTCAGAGACCCTGTAGTCAGGTTTTAGTATCTACCTGTCTAGTATGTGATGCAGGTTTGAGAAAAAAATATACTAAGAGACAGAAGTAAGAGAGAGAAAGTGAGATGTCAGGACAACCAATGTTGTCGGTGTAACCGACAAAGGCCCTGGCCAGTCTCAGGCACTGACTTTTATTGGCAATCAACTGGGGTAAAGGCGACGTGTGGTTTTTATGGAAATTAATGTAAACAAGGCTCATAAAGGACAAGACAAAGCATTTTTACATAAGGAACAGAATAGACAAAATATCTGATTGTAATTGGAACACTGTCTTTTTAGTCTGAAGGTTTTAGTTGTGGGAACGGAATTTGGGTGTGAGTTAGTCTGACCTCGGCACGGCACGTAGGCTTTAGCCAGACTCACTTCTATAAACAAGCCAATTGTGGGGTTAACTCTTTACAGCCTGCTTTGGGCATAGTCAATATTACGGTCCTCTACACCTGAGTGCTAGGATTACAGGTGTGCGCACCCATGCCTAGCTAAGTGTGCCATATGTTACAACTCAGGTTCACCTCTGGACTATCATTGCTAGGTGTGGGGCTGGCATTTTGTGGATGTCTATGCCAGGTTCCGCTTTATACACCTTAATCAGCATTTCCTTTTCTCTAGGAAAACATAGGATTAGGAGTTATAAATATTCTCTTTTTCACCAAACTAAGTCACTTTAAGATCTATGCACATCTTCTCCAAAAGACAAAAACTACATTCATCTGGATTGGCTTTAGTGATGTGTTGTTCATAGTTGGTCTAATCAGCCATGATTCATGTGGTGGATGCAGTCACTGGAGAAAGAATGCGGACAGAGGGACAGTGCTTACAGAAGGAAAAGTGTGTGTGCCAGGAAGTTACGCTGAATGTGTCTAAAACTAATTTATACGTGACCCCCGCGAGGAAATGCTGATATTTTAGAGCAGCACTGTCCTGTGGAACTCTTCCAGGTTCAAATCCTCCCTCTCCGGACTATTCAATTTGGCGGCTGCCAACCATGACTCACAAGTGCAACACAAGAACTCAGTAAATACAATCGATGTTGTGTGGTTTAAATCAACTTAACTTTAGCCACAGGTGGCTAGCCACTTCCACACTGGACAGCACAATTTTAGAGTTTCCTTTGAGCCACAATGAAATAGTATATGGTACTTATTTAAAATTTCATAATTGAAAATCAATCCAGAGTAGAAATTTGGTCTCGGCCATTTTATCTGACTGTATTCAAGTATATTAGATTATTTATTGAAGTCTCAGATTTTTTGCAACAAGAAGTAAAAATAATCATTCTCATTTTTGAGGACAGTGCTACTCAAAGTGTGGCGTGCATATTGGTTCCCATCAGAGAAATCAAGAAGTTTTTATAGCCGAGTGTAGTGACACATCCCTGTAATCCCAGAACTCAGGAGGCTGAAGCAGGAAGATTGCCACAAGTTTGAGGCCAGCCTGGGCTCTGTAGGGGGTTTAAGGCCAGCCTAGACTACATGGCAAGACCCTGTCTCAAACAAACAAGCAAAAAGCCAAATAAACAAAAAGAAGTTTTTGTAGACATACCACAGAGTAATTTTGCATCTCTTCAATTTAATAAAATTTTATTTGGCACTCAAAATTTTCACTCTTCTAACACTTTGTTGTATTTTACAAAATTAACCATTTATAACAGTTTGCAAATAAAGCAAAACTGGCCCTTTACCATGGATGGTTTGAGACCTGCTGGCAAAGACTCATCATAGGTAAAGGTTATGTGCTACATAACTGACGATGGGCTGTTATTTTAAATGTCAGTCTTACAATTTCTCAGTACCTCAAGTAATAGAAGCAATTCCGTCTTTTTTTATTAGAATTTTTATGTTTTGAAAAAGACATAACAGAAAACCAGGCATATCCATATTTGCAACATGATAGGTGACATGATATATAATAATATAATTATATATATATATAACACACTAATACAGACAGGAAATCACACCAGGAAAAAGGCTGGGTGTGAACAGATTTATGATGCTGGACAACTAAGGTCTTTGATGAAGGTCTACATAGTGGTCAAGGTATTACTACCGCTGTTCTAGGCTGTTCTAGATCCCATTTGTGAAAGTTAACAACGGAGGCTCTGAATCACAATGCCTGTTGCTTTAGCAAGGCATTTTTTCATAAAGATCCTGTTTTCTCACCTAGCAGCACCTACTTCATCCATCTGTTGCAGTCTTCTTCCTAAGGAATGTAACGAACAAGGCTCAGTGGACCGGAAATGGACTTCATGACTATATATACTTAAGTAAAATTAAAGCTGATGATCACTTGGCATTAATAGTTCAGACATGAACTTTAGCAGAGAAAGGTAAAGAAAGTATAAAAATATCATGTTTGTAAGGATAATTTTCTTCATCTAACACTTCGGGGCTTCGAGAAGAAAATTCCTTTTGTTGTTTGTGCCATTTGAATGTATTCTCTGGCAGTTCCTCCATCTTACTGCCCAAAATATCTATCACGGCTGATGCCTTGCTCATTTTCTTTAGATTTCCATCTCAATGAGGAATATTTCTAATTGTATAACATCTCCTGATGGACCATCCCATTGGGCTCTGGCGCTGGCTCCCAGAGGTTGGCAGGGCCCAAGCCATGCATCCCAGGAGCGAACAGTTCTGTCTTTGAACTGCTCAAAATATAATCACATTGATTGATTCTGTGGCCAGTTCATGCTTTCAAATCTTTGTCTCTTTGACTAGCCATAAGGCCTAATACATTAGAATCACTATGGGTTAATGGCAAGTTATGGCACTCTACTGATTGTTTTACATTTAAAAATGTGTTGTTAATAAAGTATGTAAGAAAGAAATTTGTTACTCCCAGTGCTTAAGGAATATTATGTATTTGAGAGGGCAAAAGGACTTTTGTAATTGTATAACTAAAATATTTCCAATAAAAATTTTTTATTTACATAGTGGCCATTTATGAAATGGTTCTGTGAAGAAGCTCAAAAAACAAGAAGATGCTGGAGTAATACACGTTGTACTTACACCTGTCCAGGTGTGGGGGCGCACACCTGTAATCCCAACACTAAGGAGACTGAGGCAAGAGGATTGCTGTTGAGTTCAAAATGACCTGGACTACACAGTGAGTTCAAGGCCAGCCTGAACTACACACGAGATTTTGTCTGTCTGTCTGTCTCTCTCTCTCACATACATGTGCATAATACAATAATGAAAAAAGAACTTATAGCAACACAACACATGATAAATACTTTTAGCTCTAAAGTTAAATGGTATAAGAAAGAAATAATTTTTGTACAATGAACAGCAGAAATATCACAAGAAATAAAAGCCTATGCAGTATCTAGGGGTGACAGGGAATTCAGGAACACGGAACAATAGGAAATGCCTACAGTAGGAAAAGACACTTGGAAAAACTGATGCTTAAACAAGTAGATGTGCCAGCCAGGTGTGGCAGTACACACCTGTGATCCCAGCACTCCATAGGCTGAGGCAGGAGGATCACTATGAGCTCAAGGCCAGCCGGGGCTACAGAGCTAGTTAAGCCTGAACTGCCTAGTGAGACCTTGTCTCCAAAAACAAACAAACAAAAAGTAGATGGGCTTTAAAAATAAGGCTTGATACATGTGGTGATAGATTTTTGTTTAAAATCAATCTATTGTATATATGTACCAATCCCTGATGCTTTTAATCATCATGCACTGCAAACATGTACTGACCAAAAAAGTAAAAGATAAAAAATGTAAACTTCGATGATTTTTTTCTTCTTTCCTGCTTCTGCTTCCCTTTCTCCCCCTTCTTTCACTATCTATGGTTATTTGACAGATAAGTAGAACTTCAAGCAGTAAGAATAATTGTCATGAATTGTGTATGTGCGTGTGGGCACGCATCTGCAGAAGGAGTAGCTTAAACTATATAATAATATTTAAATATTAGCGACATTCCCGATTCCTACTCCCTGAAACGAGCCATGAGGAGGCCTCGGCTTTGGGTACTGTGTCTTTGCTGTGAGACGTCCCACGGAGACGGCAGTAGAGGAGCAGCGTCGGAAGGGAGGCTGAACTGTGAAAAGATCACACAGGGAACGGGAGAGCGACCTGTGGAGTCCCTAGTGACACACTGGGCAGCGAGACCCCCGCTGAGGCTTCATCTGAAAACAAAGTCAGGAGCAGTTGCGTTTGCTGTTCCCGCAGCCATGCAAAGGAGCAGCGGGGCAGAGGCGCAGCTTGGCCCCGGTTGTGGCCGGAGGGCCTGTGCCCCGTCTTCGGCGTCCCCCTCTGCTTCAAGACGGAGATCTCTGTCCTGCGGCCCGGCAGACGATGCCATGAACCATTACAACCGAAGCCTGGCTCTTCTGACCTCCGACTCGGCGAGCTACCTTCTGCCTGCTGGGCTTGGGGCAGCTTGTCCACAGGGCAGCACTGGTGAGCATTTCCAGTCCACTCAACCGTTCAGGTTGGGATTCTGACATGTGAGTCTTTGGACCCTGCCCAGCTCAAGCCCATCTTGCAAAACGGCCTTGACATGCTGATGAAATTCGATTTCTTTACTCGTCCGTCTCGCTGAGGACCGGCTCACAGATCGTATTTAAGAGCACCATAGGACGCTCTCGACTGCTGACTGGTGTCTTCCAACCAATAACTTCCGGCATTCTCTGGGACAAAGGTTCACAACAGCTAAGGATCCTAACTAGGTGTGGATTATAGAGGTAAGGGTTCTTAATAATTACACAATTACTTGACTTCTTTTTCCTTTTTTAAAATTCTTGATATTAGCTGAGCATGGTGGTGCACTCCTGTGATTCCAGCACTTGGGAGGCTGAGGCAGAAGTATCACCACAAATCTGAGGCCAGCCTGGTTTACATGGTGAGTTCAAGGCCAGCCTGAACTACATAGTGAATGAGACCCTGTCTAAATAAAACAAAACAAACAAACAACAACAAAAAAATAAAGTTCTTGATACTATCCTAGAACAATATTCCAAATTACCGAGCACTGATCAAACCCTCGGTTGCCTACTCATACCTACTGAGGTACGGTGATGAATAAAGAAAGACAATGACAAACTTGTCTTTTTCTGGGACACCCGGAAGTCACTGCCTCAGACTGGGCAAAGACAAGACCTCTCTGGCTGGCCCACTTTTACTAGCACTGAGAAGCCCAGGGGAGGGTCGTGGACTTTTCCTGGAGCAGAGACTGCAGTGAGAAGGTAGTATAGAATGAGGAACAGGTTTAGCATCACAAAAGAAACAAGTTCAGCTCCTTCCCCACATCTGCATACTTATACTTGCTTTCTTTGTGCTGTCCCCAGCAGATGTTATCTTGCCTCAGGACCTCTGGGGTAAGGGGGAAGCCTGCAGCCTTCTGCAAAACTTCCCTACTCCTGAAGCAAGTCAAAGTCTTCCTCCTGACTTTGTGACTTTAGTTTGTTTTTGGTACTGGGGATTGAACTCAGGACCTTGCACTTGCAAGGCAGGCATGGTGCCACTAAGCTACATCCCTGGCTGGGGCCTGTGGTTTGGCCCCCACCAACCTATACATATCATGGCTTGTCCCCAAAATCCAAAGACACTATTTTGGAAACTGCAAAAGCAGTGTGAGAATAAGAATTAATTGAGAACTGAAATTCAAAAGTTTGAGAAGTAGAAGTGACAAAGAGTACAGCTGAGCAAAGATAGTGTCTTCATGACTTCTGTCAAGGGCTGGGCTTCTTCCTGTGCCTGTGTGTCCAGCCCCAGTGTTCCCCCAATCCCTACTGTCTTTTCTACAAAGGAGAATGAGGATGTTCCAAGGGGAAGGATGCTAAGGACATTTTAAAGTTAGAATGAGAAGGAGTGTTGGTGAAGTTAATAATGAATTCCAAAAAACAGATAAACAGGACAGAAACTTCAGGGAGGCAAACTGTCTTAGTTACTTTCTTCATTGCTGAGATGAAATACCTGACACCCAAAGTTAAGAGAGTTTATTTGCTCACAGTTTGTAAAGGTTTCCATCTGTAGTTGGCTGGCTCCAAGGCAGGGTGGCATGGCCGACAGGCATTGCAGAGGAGAAACAGTCCATGGCAGGGTTGCAAAGTAGCAAAGCAGCTAGTAGCAAGGAGCAGCAGCAGCCCTCTCTCTGTCCCTTATATTATATCCAGGCCACATATCTTTAGGGAAGGTAGCACTCACAGGCAGGGTGGGCCTTCCCATTATTCACTCCCAGAACTATGCCAAACCAATGGATTAATGTAGTAATCACATACCCTTGATCCCAGCATCACAGATTCTAAATCCAGCCACCTCTGAAAAGCCTTATTTATGACCACATGAGGCTTTGGGAGACATCTAGACACAAGCCATAACATAAACCCATAATAAAGAAACATTAAGGTGTAATGCAGTGTTGATTTTTATATACAGGGTTAGGAGTTATTAGTAAATCACAATATTTATTGATCGATTGGGTTGTTGAGAAGGGTCTCACTATGTAGTTCATTCTGGCCTTGACCTCCCAGGCTATGTAGTCCAGACTGGCCTTGAACTTGGGGAGATCCTCTTGACTCAGCCTCCTGTGTAATGGGATTATAGGTGTACGCCACCTCACCTAGCTAGTAAATCACAATCTTTGGTTAGCAACACATGGACTCTAAGAGAAATAAGGAAAAACATAGACTGAAAGTAACACACAGGCAATAATGAAATTTTGAGTAGATTTTGTAAACACAAGTAGAATTAATATCTAATTCCTATATATACATCAAATTTGAATTTATGGATATAGAAAGCAATTTTAGAAACTTACTACATACTCCTAAGACCATTTGTATAAGATGATAGAGATTTATTGATTTATTTTAATTTTTGAGAAAGGGGCTCACTATGTAGTTCAGGCTTGTCCTTGAACTTACTATGTGGCCCAGGCTGGCCTCGAACTCAAAGCCATCCTCCTGCCTCAAACTCCTGGCTGCTGGGACTACAGGTGTGTGCCATCACACCTGGTTTAAACCGATAAATATTTGTGATGTCTTGGTCCTAAACAATAAAACCAAGACCTGGTTCAGGTGACAGAGGATGTTGAAATGAAATTCTATAGTGTGAATTATAGGTGATAAGTCATTTTCCAGTAATTATTTCTAATTTACCCACTCTGGGCTGGTGAGACTTCCTGATTTCATCTAAATACCAATCTAACCACTGAACCAGGGCTCACATAAAGAGTAATTCATAGCATGCCTCCAGATGTTAAATAGACCAGACTCATTAATTAGGGGGCTCCATAGTGCAAGGCACAGGACCAGGACCAGGATATTGGGGTGAGGAGGACGCAGTCTCCATGCTTTGAGAATTTGTATTATAATGGGAGATGCTTTGTGCTCCCCTGAAACCAGCATCCCGAGTTTTTATTTCTTATGTTTGGATTTGTGCCTTGCATATATTACTGTAAATAGCCCTAACAAATGGTTGATAGGTGAGTAAGCTTGCCAGACAAAATACAAGATGCCCAGTTAAATTTGAATTCCAGATAAACAACAAATAACTTTTTAGTATAAATATACCCTAAGTGTTGCAGTATTCCTGCAATATTTGGAATGTGCTTATTCTAAAAATGTATTGTTTATCTGAAATTCTATTCTAACTGGTTAGCCTGTCATTTTATTGGATAAATCTGGCAATTCAGCCGAGTGTGCTGGGTCATGCCTGTTCTCCCAGCACTTGAGGGGCTGAGACAGGAGGGTTGCTGGGAGTTCAAGGCCAGCCTGGGCTACACAGTGAGTTCAAAAAAATATCTGGCAATCCAAAGGTTGAGTGGGTGTAGGGTCAGGTGGATGTTAGCACAGCTGGGGAATGAGAGCCAGAGACATAACAACTTGCTGGCCATTTCAAGAGACAGTAGCCTGGACCCAGGTACAGCCAGCAGAAAGACTAGAAAAATGATTTAACTTTTTATAGGAGGAAAAAAAGTCCTGATTTGGTGACTGACTGAATGTGAAGCTGAGAGAAAGGGAGAAGTTATGGATATGAAAATAAAATACAGAATTAGTAGGCAGAATTACTGATGGAGATGAATTCCATTTTGGACATGTTGAGTTGGATGTTCTTGAGGAATATTTAGGCTAACTGATAGAAAAGGGGATTGGATGCATTCCTGGACAATGAAGTAATTTTTTTTTTCTTAGTTTTTGTGGTTTTTTGAGACAGGGTCTTGCTACACAGTTCAGGATGGCCTTGAACTCACTATGTAGCCCAGGCTGGCCTTGAACTCACTGCAATTCTCCTGCCTCAGCCTCCCTAGTGGCGGGATTGCATATCCAAGAAGCCATGGGTGCACATACTGATCCTTATCTGTGTGTGCTATTAATTCTTTTCCATAGCTACTGAGCATGCTCTAACCTCTTCTTTCTTTGAAAACTCATTCCTATCCTTCTTATAATTCTCTTGCTCCAACTCTTTGTTTGTGGTCTAAAAATGACTTCATTTATAAATGTTGCACTTTATTTTTTCCTTTTTCTTTCCTCATTGACTTGGCCTTTCATTATGCTTCCGGTACCTTTTCTTCCTCTGTCTTCACATCAGTCTGTGGGTTTTATCTGTCTCAGAGGAATTACTGCCTTCAAAAACTTCTGGAGCACTGGACTCTGGTTTCCATGGCAACCCCTGTCTCTGGCCTTTTTTTTTTTTTCTAATTGCTTAGGAGAAATCTGACTGAATCACCAATAGCTGCTGGACAGAAATAGTAGAAGGAAACTGCCCAGCACTCCCTCTGAGGTAGGAGTGGGTAGATTTAAGGAGACAAAAATGCTGAGACCTAGAAGATGGAAGTAACTGTGTGTGAGAAATACCATCTGGCATGGTTTACTGTTTTATTTGTCAGGGATCCATTGTGACTGTGGTCAAGGGTCTGAGGAGGAGCTCCTAATTAGCCAGGAATCTGTGTCGCTGATCCCATCTATGCGCTCCTACGCCTCAACCCATCTGGAAACAGGAAACCATGTTCTAGATCTTTTGTGAAAGTGTGAAATACAAACCTTCCGAGGAGAAAAATAAGATGTAGACTGAACTTGCGCTAATGTTCACTTTAGGAACATAATGCAATGCAAAGGGAATTGAGTAAGATTAACCACTATTAATCTTAATTGTAGGTCTGTTGCATTTGTAAAATACACCTAGTGAGACTTTCTGGGTTTTGTGCAGCTCTGGTATTCAACATTTTGCATCGTAATGCTATTGCTTTTGTTAAAATAAGACCCATGAATTCAGTGCGCTAAGGCTAATAGAGGTATACACATTTCTGTGAACATTCAGAGATACAGTATTCATTTTAGAATCTCAATTGTCTAGTCCATGCTCAGTGTTAGTGAATACATAAGGCATTTAACAAAGTTTTATTCACTAGAAAAAGTTGAAAGATAGCCATTTATCAGAAGGTAGTTTCTCTGCTATTCAAGATAAACTGAACATAATTTGGATTCTTAACCATACCAAGAAGAAGTGTAAATCTGTAGACCACAGAGTCTTGCCTAATAAATTCAACAGCTATCTATTTTGAATTGCTACATTGAATTCTATTTAGTTAACATTTCAATTAAAAGCAAATATGTTGTGTGCACATGAAGTCTTTCACTCATACACAATAATGGATAATCATATTTTTGGTCATAACTCAGCCAAAACTGTGATTATGGGCCAAGTTCCTCCCTCAGTTCCTTCCTTCCTCCTCCATCCCTTCTTTTTCTTTCCCAAAATAAAATTCCTCCTGAAGTTGCTGCGTGCTGCGTTTTGTGGACTGCGCCTGCTTTTGACCCCTGAACATCTGTCCCCCCCGCCCCCCAGCCCCACTGCGAAATAGTTCTGCTGCTTGCAGGGCTTGGCCCCGCCTTCTTTTGAGAGGTGAGTCCTGATTGGCCAGAACTAACCACTCCTCCACAGGGTTTTGTTTATTTCATTGAGGTCTGAGCCAATCAACACTCTGCAGGATGTGGGATTGGACAGGGCCGCCCCGTGACTGTCAAAATCCAGACTTGTGTGGTCATCACGGAGCCTCCTTGTGCCCTCAGGAGGAGAACCAAGGACCGTGCCCTGGAGGATTCTCCTGTGTACCTGACCTGGCATTTGGACAGTTTTCCGTTATGTGAGTGAATACATCCCTTTACACCACTTCCAATCACATTTACTGTACTGGTACTTTAAGAATTATGATGATGATGATGATGATGATGATGATGATGATGTGACTAAATAGTTATCTACTCTTGGGCTTCTGATAAGAATCCAAAAGAGCAGTAGTCAGTGTCCTTGTACTCAGGTTTGGATTATTTAAGAAGTTTATTTAGTATCTCATCATGGAGTTTAGAGTTGCCTTGGCACATTGTGGAAACTTTGGGATTTCGTGTTCTAATTGACTGATTAATTCAACAACCACTCACTACTAATTTTAGGCATTTTCTCTCTGTAAGGTACTCTGTAGTGATACACAGCTCTAGAACTCAGTACTCAAGGGACCAGCAGAGGAGGGAAACTGGAACATCAATGCCCCTCTCTGATGCGTGGGTGAACCCTAGTGATCCTTTTTCAGAATGGTGTTTCTAAATGTATAATAAATACTTTGAATTACAAAAGAAACTTAGTGTCTTGAAATTACTATCAAATATGTTTTAAAACTAAATTTGTGATTTAGAAATACTGTATACATATATGCATCTTTGTTAATGTATTAAAAACAAGATTTATCAATGGATAACATGAACATAATTTTTAGATAATAATGAGTATAAATGGTATTTTGAGTTATCTGCAGCGACTGTCATGGAATAGGAAGACATCTGTGGTATCTGTTGGTTTCAAAGTCATAAACACTGCCAGGGCTGATACTATTGTGGCTTGTGGCTTACATTCACAATAGAAGGAAACACTACATTTTATATTTGGAGGTTTAGTTCAATGTAGTTTCCTGGCCTTGACTTGTATGCCAAGTGGGGAAAAAAAAGTGTGCGAAGAGAGAATATTTGAACCAATTATTGATAGACTGAAGGAGTTACTTAGGTGTGTAAAATGGAAGTGATTTCCTGACACATGGGCAGGCCCATGCAAAGGTGTGAACTGCTGCCTGGTTATATGGGTGAGGGAATATGGCAGTGTAGTGGAAGGTGAAACGGGAAAGACTGGCACCATATTCGGGGGATGGGTTGATTGCACATTACCGTGACTAAATGCGATTCTGTCTTCCTGTGTTTGAAATACTTTACAAACTCTACATAGCTGAGCCTATATAACTGAAGTTTCCTAGAGTTGCTTTTCATAATCCAGCCACAGCTTTCCTTCCTAATCTCGTTGGCCACCATTTTTCCTGTCCTCACCTCAGCTCCAGTGAGTGATTCCCAAACATCCTGTGTACATCTCATTCTCCTTAATTCTACCGATTAGCTGAGGAACTCCGTCCTCTACCTCATTTTCCTCATCTGTCAAATAGGGACGGTGAGTACCTTGGAGTCATGAAGGTTAAATTAGTTCTTAAAATGTGCTTGGAGCAGTACTTAATGTTAGGAAAAAGGAAAAGAGACAGAGGTATGAGCTCACGGGACAGGTTTATTTTAGAACAAACCAGAGAGGGACCATTCTGGCAATAGAGACCAGACCAGCTATTCTTGCACAGGCTGTAGGGCTTTTTTTATAGGGTCATGGGCATGGGGGGGTTGGTTCTGGTGAGAAGGAGTTTCGTTACCTGTTAGGAACAAGGCTGGAGGACGCACCGGGAGCTGCGGTTACTCAAGTGCAGGGTTGAGTAAAGGTGGGCATTATGTGCTGCAGCTATGGTTACGGACTTTATAGCCCATGATTCTACATTTCTAGCAGGGACACAGGCAGAGCGAGGGACAGAGGTTTCTTGTGCTCTCTGCTTAGCTCAGAATGGCAGTGGCTAGATTCCTTCACTTGACACAAGCTAAACTCTAAAGAAATGATTGTTATTAGAATTGTCATTATTACCCATAATTCTTTTCCCCCTTTGCTCAATTGGCCAGTTCATATACATTCTGTAAAATGAGTTCAGATATCATGTCCACCAGAAAGATTTTCTGATAATGTGATTTCTGTTTCCTCCAGGTAGAATTCACAACTTCCTTTTCTGCATCACTTTGAGGTCTTACATAATTTCAATTCTTTTTTTTTTTTTTTTTAAAGAAAACAACATTCTTTATTAAGGGTCAGTCATATTCAACTTTAGTATATGTGCTGCCAAAGCAAGCACCATATACAACTTTAAAGTGTGGGAATTCCATTCTTTTATTATCTAGGACTTCTTTTTGGATTCAACTCAATCTGATTTGAAACAAATAAAAGCTTAACCACAAAAATATAAAACCAAAGATTTACTGATTTCTGCAATAAGAGAGTCCAGGGGTGCAGTAGCTCCAGAGACTCAAACTCCAATATTGGAGATTCTCTTCTTATCTCTCTGGTGTGCTTTGCTCTGTTAGCTTCTATTTTAGTGGGATTTTCTCATGTGATGGTTATGTTACTGCCAAAGGATGAAGTCTTCTGACTGCCCAGGCATAGGGCATGGAAAGGTAGGTTTCTGTCCTAAGACCTGTTGGAAATAATATAGACTAAGAATAGGTTTATAGTGGTATCATGGAAAATCCAGATTTTGTTAGCACACTACAGAGGGATGGCTAACAGAAAGGGAAAATAATAACTTTCCTTTTGCAATTACATTTTCAAAACAGTTTTGGGGTTTATAATAACTAAAATACAGTAGAACTACCATTTCATTCACAAACATGACAAAGCCTCATAATATAGCTTTTGTATTTTTGAGATCACCAAATTTTTGTTATATACAAACTTTGAAATCTGTGTGAGGAGTTCCCCAGTATTCTCAGGGAAATTTTCAGACTGATGAAATGTGCTACAGTGGTCGAGGGGCCTTTAATTCCTGAATTCTATTTCCAAAATAATATATGTCTTCAGGAGAAATGCCCTGGAGCCCAAATGAAAGGCTGAATTATAAATCTTACAGTATCAATGAAAATATGAGGGACTGACAGCATCTCTAGGTCCTGGGCTCTTTCTCTGGTGAGAAGCTCAAACACAAAATATATGTTGCTTTCAAATGCTAAAGAGCGAAGATCAAAGTAGTATTTGGCATACACACCGCCAGACACATTAACATTATATTTGAGCAGGAGCAAGTAATGCCTTTCCAACTCATTTATGTCCTTGAGCGAAACATCCCTGAGGACCCTGCAGAAGTCTATGTTCCACACAGCCTTGTCCTGCCAAACCTTGGCAGCAAGAAGAATGGCTCCCAGCAGGATCCTTCTCCAGTTAGCAGGACAGACGTCTATCTCAGTGTATGACACAAGCCTTTTTAAGTAGACCAAAGTTATTGTTGCACATTCAGTTGGTAATGATGCAGCATTAAAAATAAAGGCAACAAATCTGTAAATACAGTTGTGTTCAGGATCATGCTCAAAGTATTCCTCTGAACACTTCTCTCTTGTGAGTGGATGCCATCTCTCATCCAAAATAGCCAGGGATCTATTTGCATCTCTGTTCTTTAGGTGGTAATATACTGCTAAGGTCACACACTCTACCACGTTTCTACGATTAGGCAGGCTGAGTGTGCTGTCATCTAGAAATATCGTTGAGCAGGAGCTATACATCCCAGTAAGCTGCCCTGGAGACACATGGTTGAAATAGTTGCTTTTCCTCTGATCTTGTGCGTTTGCATGAAATTTGTTCAGGAAAATTGTGCTTGCCCTTAGATGGTCAGCAGGGTTTGATTCCAGAGCTGCACCTGTGTGTCTCCTTGTGACTCAGGCAGGCTCCTGCCACTGCAGAATGCAAAGGCCAAAGGGCTGGGGGATCCTGAAGGGGGCAGGGCCAGCAGGGGTCTAAGAAGGCATCATGGCGGGTGGAGGGGAAGACCTGGAGAGGGAGGAGGGAGAGAGAAGGTGCAGAGAGGAGGAGAGAACTAATTTCAATTCTTTTTGGTTTTTTGAGACAGGCTCTTGCTATATAGTTCAAACTGGCCTTGAACTCATGACAATTCTCCTGCTTCAGCCTACCAAGTGGTAGAATTACAGGCATGCACCACTCAGTTCTTGTATTTTTCACACTGCTATGCAATCTCATGGTTCTAAGTTACATTTGCCCTGTTAATGCCAGTACTCAGAGGCTGAGGCAGGAGGATCAGGCCAATCTGGGCTACATATAGAGTCCAAGGATAACTTGGACTACATAGTGAGACCCTATCTGAAAAAACCAAACAAAAAGTAAGGGCTGAGAATTGTTACATCTGCAATGTTTTATTTTATTGGAGGGATGCAGGAATTTTCAAATCCATGCAGGGGAGGTACCCACTAATAAGATACTTTTCAATTCTGGATCCAGTGATAAGATACTTCACAGGTGTAATGGTCGACTATTCAGCAAGCTTCTCTTTGTAATAATAGGTTTTGATGATGAGAGCTGACCACCCTTCCTATACACAACCTTTAAATGTTAGTGTTTTCAAGGTGTTGTGCGCTACTGGTCCTTCATAATTTCTCACTCTACACAGTCATCCTTGGGGGGCCCTCTGCCACCCCTAGGCCACTAGTACTGTATAATGATAACTCCTGAATCTGGCCTATGCTGAGTTCTCTGTCTCCTAAGATTCATTTCCAAATTTTCAAAATATATGCCATCTATGTCCTTTTCGATAAGCAATAAGAACTTTCACCATAATATGCCAAGAATGAACTCAAGTTTTTAACTGTTAAACATTTCCCACCCAGCCTTATTCTTACCATCTTGGTTCATTCTTTCATTATCTCTCACCTGAATTATTGTCAATTTTTAATTTTATTTACTTTTTATTAGTCCATATTTGCAGTACATCATGCTTATGTCCTTTGTGTGGAGTCAGTACCTGTATATAACGCACCTTCATTTCTTTTTTCTTCTCTTAATCCACTCCCTCCATTCCTTGACCCACTTTCCAAATGAGAAATATCTGTCTCCCTACTTCCTATTATTTTTTATTTTGCTCTTTATTTATATTGTGGGTCTCTCATATAAGAGAAACCATGTGATATTTAAGCTTGTGTGTCTGATTTATTTCACTTAACATTGTGGTTTCAAGGTGCATCCATTTTCCTACAAATGACTCAAATTTATCTTTCTTTATGACAAAGTAGTACTCCATTGTGTGTAAATACCCCATTTTCTTTTTTTTTTTAAATACCCCATTTTCTTTATCCCTTCACCTCTTGTTGGACATGTAGGCTGCTACTAAGATGATTTAACTATTATGAATTGTGCTGCTATAAACATGTGTATGCATGTATCACTGTAAAACAATGTCTTGTTTGTTAGTTTTTTGAGAGAGAGTCCCATTATGTAGTTTACGCTGGCCTTGAACTCAATATGTATCCCATGCTGGTCATGAACTCAGTAGTCCTCCTGCCTCAGCCTTCAGAGTGCTGGGATTGCAGGTGTGTGGTACTACACTTGGCAATGTGTTTAACTCTTTCAGGACAATTCCTAGAAGGGGAATAGCTGTCAAATAGAATGTCGAGTTTTATATCTTTGAAGCATCTCCATGCTGATTCCCACAGTGGTTGTACTGCTTTACATTCCCCAAAACAATGCAGAAGACAACCCTGCAGTCTTGACAGCATTTGTTATTATTTGAATTCTTGATGATGGCCATTCTTTCTGAGGTAAGATGGAATCTTAGTGTTGTTTAATTTGCATTTTTCTAATGACCAGCAATGTTGAGCCTTTCTTCATGTATTTATTAGCCACTTGTACTTTTGATTCCATGTAGTATCTATTCATTTCACTTGCCCATTTTTGATTGAGTCTTATATTTTGGGAGTCTAATTTTTTTGAGTTTTTTAAAAGATATCTAAATATTAGTCCTCTGAGGAATAGCTAACAATTTTTTTTTCCTATTCTGTGGGTTTTCTTTCTACTCTGTTAGTTGTTTCTCTTGCTGTGCAGAAGCTTTTTAATTCAATATGACCCCATGTGTTGATTCTTGGCACTATTTCCTGTGTTCCCTTTGATTCTGTTCAGAAAGTCCTTGCCTATGCCTATATCTTAAAGAGTTTTACGTGTTTTATCTTTCAGCAGGTTAAGTGTTAGTGTTGTAACATTTAGTTCTTTGAACCATTTTAATTTTAGTTCAGTAAATTGTGAGAGATATGAATCTAGATTTGGAGAGCCAGCAGAGGAGGACAGAGGAACTGGGGATAAGAATATACATTTTTAGCTGGGTGTGGTGGTGCATGCCTGTAATTCCAGCACTCAGGAGACTGAGGCAGGAGGATCATCCTGAGTTTGAGGCCAGCCTGGGATACATAGGGAGTTCTAGGCCAGCCTGAACTGTAGAGTGAGACTCTGACTCAAAAACAAAACAAAACAAAACAAAAACACATTTCTAGATGGAGAGCAGGTGGAAGGAGAGGAGAAAACGGACAAAAAAGGAATTAAGGTGTGTTAAGTCCATGTACCAACTCCCCACGAGGAATGTAACCATTACATGTGGGAGCCTACAATACTGACTATCCCCAAAGCAGTCTGTAAGCAGTGCAGGCTGTGAAGAGTTAACGCCACAATCGGCTTGTTCATAGACGTGAGTCTGGCCGAAGCCGATGTGCGATGTGAGGTCAGAGTAACTCGCATTCAAATTCCGTTCCCACAACTAAAACCTTCTGACTAGAGGGACAATGTTCTAATTGCAACCATATATTTTGTCTATTCTGTTCCTAATTTGAGAATGCCTTGCCTTATCCTTGATGAGCCTTGCATACAGTAGTTTCCATAGAAACCGCACGACTGTGCATTTTGTCGTGTACGTAGCTTGCCTTTACCCCAGTTGATTACCAATAAAAACCAGTAGCTTAGACTGGCCAGCGCCTTTGTTGGTTGCACCAGCATTGGTCGCCCTGGCACCCTGCTTTCTGTCTCATTTAGTTCTGTCTTTCAGGTTTTTTCGTCAGGCCTGTGTTGCACACCGGGCAGGAGACTGGAGCTTACTGCAGAGGTTTCCAGTAACGTTTCAGGGGTCCCCAGTAATCATATACGGCAAAAATGTACTAATAAAAATTTAAAAAATAAAATACACCTTTCTAGGTCACGCCCCCAGTGACACAGCCCTTCCCACCTGCCCAAGGCCTAAGAGCATATTTAGTCTTGGACTCCTCAATGCTCAGTCTGCTGATGAGCACAGGGCCCTGGTGATCTAGTGGCCTTCCAAAAGGCGTACCTCCTAACTGTGGGGGACATGCCATGGGTATACTACATTGTATCATATGCTTTGTATGCCTATGTCTATGTGGGTGTATGTATGTTATTGTACGTATGGGTTGGGTCTCTACTGCTTTTCCAGAAGGATCCTTGGAGATGCTGACTGGGTAATATTTGGAGTGAACCCTGCTGCTCCTCCAACACTCACACATCAAACAATAAAGAAAGGGAAAAGTATTGAATGTGAGAATCTGAGTTCAGTGGAGGAGGAAGAGAGGGAAACAGTTTTCGGACCCTTCCACTCCCAGGTCTGTGTAGGAACTCTGGGCCTTGCATGTGTGTTAGGGTTTATAACTGGTTGTCCCCTAAAGCCTCAGGAGCTCTAGGTGGGGCTTTTGGGAACAGATTGGATCATGGGGTGGCACTCCTCAGTGCATTCGTTCACTAAGGAGTTTATAGCTAACTGTCATTTGAAAGTGAAGCCTGGGCAGAGGAGGTGGTCACCGGGGCGTGGCCTGGCAGGATGCTTCTCTCGCCCTCCTCCCTCCATCCCTGCTTCCTGTGCAATGTCCTGAGCTGATTCTCTTCTGCCATAAGGCCCTGCCCTGGAGCCAGCTGACTATGGGTCTGAAACCCGTACAGACTGAGCCCAAATAAACCTCTCCTCCTTTTAGTTGTGGGTGTCAGGTACTGTGTCCCAGCGATAAGAAAGTAACTACCACTGAGCTCCATGGTAGCCCTATTTGTTTTTCTGGGTGGTAAGGAACTAGGGGGAGTAATAAAGTTTAAGGAAGAAGTGATTTGCGAGAAGCAATTGTCAAAAGAGCTTTATTATTACTTGTTGTTTTACAGACAGGATCTCGCTGTGAAGTTCAGGCTGGCCTTGACCTCACTATGTAGCCAAGGCTGGCCTCGAACTCATAACAATCCTCCTGCCCACCATGCCCGGCTAGTCCAGGACCTTTAGGTTTTTGTAGTCCTTCCCCTACACGGCTCCTCCTCAGTGCCAGGTAGCTTGTTACTTTGTCAAAGTTACAGTTGCTCCATTTACCTTTCTTTACAAGTGGACACTGGGTTAAGGCTGGCCACTTACTGTTATTTGACATATTTTACACATTCCCTGACACATGCTTTAACGCTCAACACACTTTATCTCTGGCCACCTGCGCCAAATTCAGTCATCTAACAAAGTATCTGAGTGACCTTCTTCCTCTCTGACTGAACAGCCCATTGTTTTCCAAGGTCAGCCTTTTAATTCTCCTAGGATGACTTTTCTGACACCCCCAAAGATAAAATTTGCTCTTTCTTGTGCAACCCAGTCCCCCTCATCTGCTTTGTTCCTGACGGTTAAATATTATACCCAATTGTTTCTGTCTTTCCTCTTCAGTAGTGCTTTTTGCAGGCAGGAGCCGCATTTTGGAAAGGTACTAGATCCGTGAATGGCACGAAGGAGCTGCTCGGTAAATGTTTACGGTATCAAGGACCTGGGCGTCCCAGTGACGTCACTTCCGGCACGGCCTGGCGTCACCCGCGGAAGCCGCGAGGGTTTAAGGCGTTACATCGGTGTTTATAATGCGCACCAGGGGTCTCCAAGGCAGGCTAAGACTCCAGAGCGCCCACGGGGACCTCTGGGGCTGGGCCCTGTGGCTCCGAGACACCTCCTAAGGGAGGAAACACGCAGCTTCCGGGGCAGGAGGGAGCCTGGGCGCCCAGAGGCACCCGGAAAAGGGCGGCCGGGAGGGCGGGGCAGGAGCAGTTTATGTCTCGCGATGCTTCTTCCTCGCTCACTTGGCCGGGTAGTGTCGCGAGAGGAGCGCATGCAGGATGGCCGTGCCCTGGATTTCGTCCTGAGACGGCAGAGGCGACTGCGGGGACTAAGGCGGGCTGCGGCGGCGGCGGCGGCGACCGCAGTGTGGCGTCGCGGGCACCCGACCTCTAGTTCCCGGCGGCGAGGCGAGCGCCGGCTCCCCGAGCCGCGGGAGATGCGTGTGTCCCGGGCTCGCGGGGGCTCCGGGAGTCCATGCTGCGCGCCACGCTGCTGGCCGCCGCGCTAATCGCCTCCCGCCGCCGCAGCGAGCCTCCCGGGTCCCCTTCCTGCCCCCGGCGGCGGCGGCGATGACCGGGGAGAAGATCCGCTCGCTGCGCAGGGACCACAAGCCCAGCAAAGAGGAGGGGGACCTGCTAGAGCCCGGCGACGACGAGGCGGCGGCGGCCCTCGGCGGCGCCTTCACCGGGGGCCGGTTGGCCGCCGGCGGCAAGGGCGGCAAAGCCTACCACCGCATCTTCAGCAACCACCACCGGCTGCCGCTGAAGGCGGCCCCGGGCCCCGCCGGTGCCCCCGCCGCCCCCCAGTCCCCGGCCCTCCTCGCCGGCACCGGCCCCCTCGCCGTCGTCGCGGACGGAGGCAGCTGCCCCGCGCACTACCCGGTGCACGAGTGCGTCTTCAAGGGGGATGTGCGGAGACTGTCCTCCCTCATCCGCACGCACAACATCGGGCAGAAAGATAATCACGGTGAGGAGTGCCCCTCCATCCTTCCTTCCCCGAGCCAAGGTGTGCACCCCAGCCCCTGCCCGAGCAGGCTCCCCTCCATCTGGCCCGGTGCCTGTGCATCACGACCGATCCCGAATGCGTGCCGTGCTCGAGAGGCCGGTTCCTGTGGGTGCCCAAGCAGTGCTTCCTCCCGGCTCGCTTCAGAGTTGCCTGCGGACAGCTGTTGTGTTTATCTTGGAGCCGGGCCTTCAATATACTGCTTCGTGCCTGGCCCAGATTTTTAGGTTGCCTCATCCTACCTGCTCTTCTTACTTTATTTATGGAACTTTTCCTCCTGGCCACCTTCAGATCTTTATTTGAACAACCCCCCCCCCCCCAGCAGATCCCATCCCACCTCGGAGGCACCTGGCTGTGACTTCCCCCTGCCCTCAGGATAGCCTTCTTGTTTGTGTGCTGTTAGGAAGCTTGGAACCCTTGGGTTTCTGAAAGCCACACAGCAGAAATTTGTTGCCATTTGATTCCTGAACTTAATTAAAATGACCTCTCAGAAGCTGTTTTGTTGGGCTGTTTTAGGTAGATAATTGCCAGTAATCTCATCTTGATGACTAACAATAGCATTGTGATTTTTCTTGATAACTTCATCACCAAGGTATTTGAGGAAGTGTAGGTAGGAGGCTTGAAGGACTCATTTGCCTTGTGTTAGCTGAGTTCTTTCAGCTTATTTAGTTCAGAGAATAACGTGACTGAGTTGACTTTTAAGCAGTGGTAAATATGTACAGTGGACTCTCAAGTTAGGACCGGCCTGACATACGAACAACTTGGGTTAATTAGGTTAAGGGAGGATTCATCTGCCTCTTGTTACCTATAGCATGTACTCAGGTAAACATTCAGATCTCCACTGTAGCGACGTAGTTATGAACCAATCAAGTTCGTAAGTCAAGGGTCGACTGTGTTTACTTCTTTCGTGGTGTGGGGATTGAACCCTGGGCTGTGAGCGACAGGTTTGTTAATGAAAGCTAATGTAATGTGTTTCTAACATTTATTAAATAGGCTATTGCAAGCTGAGCTCAAACATTGTTAAGTTGTTAAGAGCTCTTTTAACTTGGTGCATGACACTCATGTTCGCTTAGAATTCGCTTAGGATTGTTGGATCATACGATATTTCTCAATTCCTTGCCCAGAAAGATACAGCACTTTAACCAAATACTTGCCTGTGGAATAAGCTCCCATAATTCTGTTGAATTCTAGTCCCCTTATCTAAAATTAGGATAAAAATTGAAATTAAAAAAGCATATTTTCTCTTCTGTGGTTCACAAACAACTGCACTTTCTTTCTGAATTTACAGTATTATAAATGTAATAATATCACCTGTATTACTTATAAATCATGACCCGAAAAACAGTATCTTAAAGCTACCCCTAGGTTTTTGTCCCTACATTTATCACTTACCAATGTAACAAGTGTAATATTGCTTGCTCTGATGTATTCTAACCTTTTGGGAAACAGTTGTCAAAGGCCCCTCAGTTTATGAGTCAATTACTAGGAAGTTTTTCAGATTTGGTCTGCATATGCATTGTACTTTTTCAATGGACATTTCTTTAAATTTTTTTTTTTTTTTTTTGCAAGGATTGAGCCCAGGACCTTTTCACTGAGATACATTCCTAACCTTTTAAAAATGTTTTTTTGGTTTTGTAAGACATGGTCTTGCTATGTAGTTCAGGCTGGCCTTGAACTCACTCTGTAGCCCAGGCTGGTGATCCTCCTGCATCAGCCTCCTGAGTGCTGGGATTACAGGTTTGTGCCCCCACTCTGGGCTGCCATTGCCTTTTAAGTTTAATTCTGTTACCTTGAGATAGCTCAGAAAACACAAAAAGTTCCTTTTGAGAGTTAACTCCTTCAAGAGAGGAGATGTACCATTAACCAGAAGCCCCGAATTGCAGGATTGTCAGGCCTCTTTAATCCAGTTTTCTGGAAGATCTTGCTAAAGGGAGCCTTTAAATGCTTCCCCGGGCTGCTCAAGTTGTTTCCACAGGGAAGCTTTCTGTTTTAGTTTACCTACCTTTGTAGCGTTGTTCCTGGTGACTCTCACACCTGTGAGAAGTGGGTTGTGTCCCTCTGTCCCTTCATCCTCCTCATCTGGGAGAGTCACTTAATGTTCTGCTTCTTTTTAATCTTGTTTTCCATGATACTTTCAGTAACTTTCCGTGTTACATTACTGAATTATTATTATGGCTCTTGATATTTTACTAATTGAGATGCTTTACTTAGATTTTAAGGGTATTTTTTCTTTAAAATTATAAAAGGTAGGTACCTTTCAAATTGCTCAAAGGAAAACAAGCTGTGTGTTGTCTTGGATTGCTGTACCGTGATAGGTGTGTGGCAGAATCACACTCACACAGGTTTGTAGTGGAGCCGAGCAAGTGCACCATGTGCGCCCGCCCCGGCCGCCACAGCGTGGGCTGAGGACAGTGACGTCTCTGTCGCCAGCACTGTGCTGACTGTGTGCATTGTCACATTTCATCCCTACGGCAGCCCTGCAGAGCAGATAGTTTATTCTCATTTTTAGGTAAGAGAAGTGAACACCAGAGAGACAGGGACACTCAAGTTATGTGCTTAGTATGAGTCTCAAAGCTAGAAGGGAAAAACTAATAGCCAGACTCCGAGGCCCAGGACCAGCCTCTGTGAATGTTTTGTCCATTGAAACCCACCATATTGCGAGGAAGTCTGTTCTCATAATGGTGTTTTAAGTCATAGCCCACAAAGTTCTCTAATGAACCATCATATAACACTCTCGGGGGGCTGGTGGAGAGGCTCTGGAATTGGGCAGCTCTCCGAGCTCCTCTGTGCAACTCAGATCTGTTTGTTTTCCGGGCAGTGTCACAGGGAAATGGGCTCTTCCATCCCATCCACACCAGAGCCCTTTGGATATTTGAAAAGAGCTATCAGAGTCCTCTTGTCTTCAGGTTAAACGTTAAACATCCCTAACTTCTATATCCATACCTCATAGGACCTTTTTTTGTTTGTTTTTTAAGACAAGGTCTCTCTGTAGCCCAGGCTCGCCTTGAACTCACTGTGTACCTGGGATTACAGGCATGCGCCACTGGTTTATAAAATGTTTTAAATGATTCTTGAAGCATAGTAAACATGATACAAGCATGTCAAATAAGTGAATAAAATTTTATTTCTTATATTGGCCATTATTCTGCTCTTCTATGTAATCAACTTTTTTCTTTTCCTTTTTTTTTGAGACAGGGTCTCACTATTCAGTTCTTGAATTCACTGGCCTGAAACTCACTGGCCTGAATTCTCCTGAATTCACCTGCCTCAGCCTTCAGAGCTGGGACAACAGGTGTGCAACACCACACCCAGCTAATCCAGGAATGAGTGAGAACAGGCAGTATTTGACCTCTTCCTGGTTTATTTTGCTCAAATTTCATCCATGTTGCCACAAGTGACAGGGTTTATCTTTTTCTGTGGCTGCATAATCTACCACACACAGACACACACACCCTCGCACGTGTATGTGTGTGTGTATGTGTATCAGTTTTAAAATCCATTCATCTGTCAGTAGACATCTTGGTTGATTCCATGTCCTTTCTTGTGAATGGTGCGGCAGTAAGCGTGGTTGTGCACATGCCTCTTTGATAAATGATTTTTCTTTGCTTTGCATGTATGCCCTGTAGAGGGATTGTTGGATCATACGATATTTCTGTTTTCAGCTTTTTGAAGAAGCTCAATATTTTTTCCATAGTGATTGTGCTTATTACATTCCTACCAGCAGTGTGTAAGAATTGCCCTTTCTCTGCATTCTTACCAGCATCTGTTAGTTTTTGTCTCTTTTGGATAATAGTCATTCTAACTAGGGTGAAAGATTTTTTTTTTTGGTATTAATCCATTAATGGGTTTAGTGTGACTTTAAATTTACTACTTGAAATTTGAAATCTTTTTTTCATGTTTCCATTTGTATTTGTTTCCAAATATTAAAAAAGTCAAGATTCTTAGTCATCTCAAATGGGACTGTGCACAGTGCTTCGTTTGTACAGCAGTCATTTCTCTCCTTCAGTTTTTTGCTGTACAGTGGTATGACTGATGGAAAACTGGTGTCCTGGGCTTGGTTGGGAAGCATCATCTCCGTACAGAAACATGCAGGGCACTTGCTATTTTGTCTGCAAATCAGTTTACAGTAACTGTTTATTTTCTGTTTCTGTAGGAGGCACATGGACCTGAAATTTAGCTGCCCAATTTTAGTGAAATTTAAAATTTTGATGTCTAATTATGACACACAGAAATAGAGGTATCCATGTAAAAGGTTTCAATGTTTTCTCTAATTCTTGAGTATACAGGAAGCCAGGCATAGTTGTGCACGCCTATAATCCCAGCACTTGGGAGGCCGAGGCAGGAGGATTGCTGCAGGTTCGAGTCCAGCCTGGGCTATGTGGTGAGTTCAAGGCCAGCTGGATTACATAGTGCAACCCTGTTTCCAAAAAACAAGTAGTATACAGGGATCCTGAAACTCAGCATTCACAAACTGGTGGTATAGAGAAAAGAATATAGGTTTTAGAGCCATGAGTCTCCCTTTTTCTAGATAGGTAGTTTTGGAAATGTTTCCCCGCCTGTGGAGTGGGGCTGTTCTTCTCACAGGGTTCCTGGTGAATGGAATGGGGTGAGGAGTGAGGGTACAGCAGGTGCCTGCACGTGCAGTGTCTGCCCCTTCAGTGCCGGCCTTAGGGTGATGATTTGCGTACTTTAAAACTTGCTCTTCATGCTACTGAAATGTTTTCCACTTACTTGACCGAACAAGATTCAGTTTGTTCACTTAGAGTCAAGACGTCCAATTTGAGATTAATGGCAGCTGTTAGCACCCTCGGGCAGCCGGTGAGCAGGTTCCACAGCATTGAGCAGAGGGCTGGGTGACACTGACTGCCGGTCAGTGGGCGGCAGGTAACTGGGATCCGAGGCCAGTCTCCTGTGCCCGAAGCTGATAGCAGGATTCCTTGGATCTGGGTAACCATGGTGACGTC